AAAGTTCAAAATTGTATATAAAAAAAAAAAGTTCTATTAGTCGAATCTTTTAAAGTTCGATAAAATGTGTACTCCACATTTGGCTATTAAAAAATGCTTAATTCACATAAAAACACTAAAAGCGATTGCGGTTGTGTTAATTCAATTAGATTTAACGAAAAGGATTGAATGAGAACAACATTCATTCTAGCTGTGACTTATTTATTTTCTTACATAGTTTGCATATCTGAATGTATGTTACGGCTAACAAATTCCGACGTTTCTACACTATTCGCAATTGTTATACAAATATTATTTCATGTGCTTTAAAGTTTTTAGGCAAGTAAATCCCAAATACGGTACTGGGATCCTCAGTTGGAGGTGAAGTGCTACTGGGATTCTCAGTTGTAGGTGTAGTGTTACTGGGATCCTCAGATGAAGATGAAGTGGCACTGGTTTCCTCAGTTGTACCGGTACTGGGAGGCTCAGATGAAACGTTACTGGGATCCTCAGTTGTAAGTGTAGTGTTACTGGGATCCTCAGATGAAGATGAAGTGGCACTGGTTTCCTCAGTTGTACCGGTACTGGGAGGCTCAGATGAAACGTTACTGGGATCCTCAGAAGTGCTTGTGGGGATAAACGCGTCACAACCATTGCTTTCGTCACGTACTATCCAATCGCATACTTGTAATTTGGGGTTGAAATAAAGTCCACTAGGACATCCCAACAAAGTAGGTATGCCATTGTTGCAAGAATAAAAGGTTTTACAATTAGCCGGATTCGGAAGTAAAGTGACTAATGCTCCATTGACTGGTGGACACCGCACGGCTTCAGAAACGTGAATTATGGCCGTTATGGCAAATACGGCAAGAAGGACCACGTTTATTCCTGAAAATGTAAAAACAGTGTTGTTTAGTATCATGTAAACATGCTAATTTTTTAATTATGTATGTTTTAATACGAATAGAAAAATCTTATTCTTCTATTTAAGTGAAAATTCTTATATATCTATGTATTTATGTATCTTTGAGGTTTGCCGAAATATCTTTGTACTTGTTTGCACACTGTATAATGAATGTATAGACATGAACATATAATAATTAATAACTTGATAGAAATATATACGTTGGATAAACAATTATACATTCCGTCATAAGCATTCGAATGACTTTAACACTTTGACTGCCACGAGAATTTTGAGCGTTTTGTATAATACTACTTATTCTTTTATAGCAAAAGCAAATGGTGTTAGTATTAATTATTAGCGATTTGGAATCGTGGTTTTTACGTTATACTGTTATCTAATTATTTACATTACTAAATATTTTTATTCGACACCAATCTTTTTATTGTAATTCGTTCCAAGGAATTCGGAAGCTGCAGTTATCGGTGATCACCATGACAGTTAACGCGTTAAACGTCGAAAAATGAAAACATTAAATTAATTTACATTTAAGTGATCCTCATCACTATAACCATTCTCTATTCTGAGCTATTTTAACGAGTTAAATCAATTTTCTTAATGCTACTACAGGATAAAGAACATTTTGATCTTCACTTTAGCGTTGCGTCACCTTTATAAATTCTATATGCATCTGAATATGAATTAAGTGTAGGTTTACTTGTTCAAGAGTTCAATAATGCTTCATTGGTACAATTCTGAAATTTATAGCTATGAAAGCTGTATTAACTGCTAAGATATTCTTTTGAACAACTCGTTCTCTGCCAGTTCATCATTACTAACAAAGAACACACGAGGTCAAATAATATTGTTTGAAATAAAACGCGATAAAGAAAGAAATTGATTTATGTAACATAATAAAACCGATGTTACCTGTTACAGTATTTAAAAATAGTTTGCAAAACTCGAATGAATCGGAAACGAGTCCCCATGATTCGATCGTCACGGGGACATCTTAGCATTCATGTATTTTCATTCGGGGATGAAAACGAAATTGTAATTAAATGATTATTGCATGGAGAAACTTACCCTTCATAGTACTGCTTGTTACGTCTGTTCGTCTCAAATGCAACTACAACAACTGATATTGCGAATCGAGATCAGCAATCGTTTTTATACACGAGACCCAGACATTTTACAGTATAAATCAATGCCAATCGATAATTTTATCACATTTCACGTCATCTATTACCAATCTTAGAAAAATGTTGTAATAAAGATTATTTAAGAAAAATGTAAGAAAAGTACTGTGCTGCGTAACTTTTCCCGTAACAGTAGATTAGATTACTAGATACCCATTTCCACGTAGGCGTCTCACTATTCACTAAGAAATTGAGATATAAACATACTCATGATATTGTTTCATTTAATAACGGAAATGTTAAAACAGTGAAGTACGACAGACAGAAACAATTTGAGATAATAGAAAATTCTTTCAAAGACGTATGGTATGGCCGCAATGATGAACAAATCGACGTAATCAGATAAGAGTAAAAATAATTTCATAAAATTCATATAATTCATAAAATGTTTGCGGAAGAAAGCTTTCCTTGAAAAAGACTTTTTCAATTTAGAATTCATAAATGAGTTTCTGATTAAGATGAGACGAAAAGGAAATGAGTAATCGATAGATAGACTGTTTTTTATGTGCAATATTATCTATTAGATGGTATTCATGTGCTGTCAATTTGTGAGTTGCTTTTCAATTAATTTTTGGTTTATTTAATTTAATTTACGCAAATGTGAATTTGCATAACGATTTACAATCTATATTTAGCATTCTGTACTTTTACTAATTATGCAATTTATTTGATGTAGTTTATGACATATTGATATATTTTACAATAATATTATAAAGAATCTCCCCAACTTGCGGTACACTAGAAAATTAATTCAATATTTATATGAAAAAGGAAGTTGATTTTAGTAATTCATTAAACACACGTAAGTACAACTGAATATGATTTATCTTTAAATCTTAACCGTTTTATTACTTAATCGTAATAATTGATACATCTAAACGAGGAAACATTCTGTGAAAATAGTTTGTAAATTATTACATATCTAAGCTGTTCTTTTCAGCTTTTAAAAAATCTTCATTACAGAAGATTAAAATTTTAATTTATTTCCTCCCATGTTCGTAAAACGTAGTCCGTAATGTAATTTGAATTGTCCGTTGCGTTCTTTCATTCAATTCTTTATGTCTTTGAAGTTCACTGTCTAAATCCTAGGAGGTCGAGGAGCTTAAAAAAGGAGCTTCCCTCCCTTTGACGTTGAATTTCACGCAAGGCTAAGTTATGCGAAGATGCTTCTTGTTTAAGCGCAAATTGGGTTTGCTCGATGTGAAGTAAGAGCCCTCGCGGGCCACAAAGGTCCTCGTCCTTGAAATTAATTCGCAAAAGAGACAAAGGAGCATTCCCGCTCGTCGTCGAGCATCGTTCAAGCTTTACGGTTGACGAACTGCTGCTACACGGTGAAGTAAATATTAGTCAAGTGAAATTGGGAATAAGATTCGATACACAGTAAAATAGCTGTCAAAGTTCATTGCGATTTGTAAAATCATACATTCTTGAAAATAATGAAATTTATCAGTATTTGATGATTGTATGGACCAGGGAATTTCGTATAGTCAAAAAAGAAACTTTGATATTAATGATTAAATGTGAACGAATTAAATATATTTTGATAAAAAGTGAATTGTAAAGTATCCATTAATATTCTCTTTGATCTTAGTTATCGAAGGTAGTGTCGGAGAATATTATTTGCTAGTATTGTTTGTTCAAATATTTTTCTTTTAAAATATTAATATATTGAAGTACCAAGAAATATTTGTATTTGATCACTAAAATCCAAAGTCAGTCTATGGTTCGAATAATTTCTGGTTTCGTCTAAATCCTTCTAAATGTCATCGTTTATTTCGTCATTTCCGGTATATGTCGTGTTTGATTGATTTTTAGTAAATCGTTCGAGGTTATATGGCAGAATTCTATCGTGCCGGACGCCGACGCACCTATTGATTTTACAAGAGAGGGAGAATGAACGAGAGGAATAAGGGAGGGTAAGGGGGTAAATGTGGTCCGACAGTCTCTTCTGACCAATGCAGCTTCATTTCCTAGAAGCGTCCACTTACAAATATTCTTTTCACATTACTCGATATCATTTTCAGAACAAGGGACACTTGTTAAAACACTAATTAAACTTTGTCGAATAATGCGTATGTAATTAAATCCCGACTGTCTTGGACGGAACATGGAGAATTAAATAATTTCATTTCTAACTTCTTTGATGTTATTAAAAGTATATGAACGTCTTTAGAATCCAAATAATTAAAATAATGTGTAAAGTAAAATTTTGATATGGGAATATTCAGTAACTATATTTTGAAGTACAATGTATGAAATTTAAGTCGATGTAAAATATGAAAAAATATTAATCATTGATTTAAATGGTTTAAGATTGGATAGCTTACGGATTAGATTTTAAAGTTTATATTTTAGATCCTCTTTTTTCCTTTTATCACCTACTCAAAGCTAAGTATTATATATGTTTAATAAGAATAATTTATTTATATATATAGAATAGCAAGAATATTATTAGTTTTAACGAATAATTAAATTTAGGCATCTTGATTGGATTTGTAACCGAATAATTCAGGAGTTCTCATCTAAAATTGATTTACTCTGATTTCTTCATGGTAATAAAAAGAATATCTTCATATTCTGCCCTCGTGACGAGTACAAAGGACGAAGTTAAAGTAGGGAAAAACAAGAGGATCGAAGGGATGAATCGTCCGTTGTTTGTGGATATCCGGAATGAAGTGGTCGTCCTGGTCGAAGACGAATACTCGGGTAATCCTCCGATATACGTGAGGAGAAAATCAGATTTCTTAAACGTCAGAGCCAACCTAGCGAATTCAGGAATTCAAGCTGGCCGGATGAAAAATTTCCAGGGATTTTTTCTGTCTTAAGCCCCTTCACAAATTGTAACGTACTGTTTCTATCGTAAAATATTCACTAAGTAAGGGTGAACAGCATTTATTTTTATAAAAGGTGACAAAGACACAGTGAATTTAGTTATTTCTGGAATTATGTGGTCTTGATTCATAAACATATTCCATTGGTAATAGAATACTTACATTACTCACAATTAGTGTTTTGTAATATTAATATGAATGATATAGTAAAATGTAAATGATACGCTTAATTGCTTTAGAATTAACAAATTTATGAATGTTTCAATTTCCTACATACCTATTGTATGTCGTTCCAATTAAGTTGAGGTAACTAAAAAAAAAGATCAATGTAATTTTCATTTCATTTTGAAATTAACAAAATTTTCAATAGAAAAATTAAATTATTTAATTATTGTTTGTATACGTTAGTTGATAAAAATATCATTTTATATAAAAGCATTCATTGTAGTGAGAAAATTTATATTTTCACTGTTTTTATGCAACTCAAAACGTCCCGAAGTTACTTTATATTTTTTACGCAATTCCGGCATATTTAATCATTCGCGCTGTTAATAAGATGAAATATAATTCACGGACAAATTACGAACGCGATTTGTGAATATATTTTCCCACCGCTAATTATAATTATTTAGCCAGCGTTTGTCGAACAAAAGGCTGGCCTGGATTCCCTGTTTGTTTTCAATCGAATCGTTCGTGACCGATGAATCCGACAAAACTCCGAGATACGTCAGCATAATTGTGCCCGCGCTTAATTTAAATTCGCGATGATAATCGATGGTCATTAAACGAGCGTCACAACTCTGCAAGAGAAATAGGTACGTCGCCGCTTTTGGTTTTAATTTAACTTAACGGCTGAACGATTCAACGTGATTTGTGCGAATACGCGGCTGCCAAGCAAACGTATCGAATCCTTTCCCGATCGCCATTGGAGTCGCCGCGTTCTTTAAATTTTATGTAAATCAAATGTGTTTGTTAGCATTATTATCAGTTATTCCTTTTTCATAAAATTCGAACACGCATCGACTCGAACTTATTCAACCGTTCTAAATCATTTCATACAACGAATCAAACGGATTACTTGAACGTATGAAATAAGAGAAGAATCGGATAAAACCTAGCTCACTGAGCTTTAATTGCAGTGTGTTTTACTACTGTACGCATACTATAACATTTCAGTTCTTATCGCGATATAACAAAATTTAACGATTAGTCTTAGAAAATACAAAATGCTTAAAGAAATCACTACCAAGAGCAATATTACAACAGTAATTAATTATTTACTTAATCTCGTGGTAACAACAGTGTATAAGTGGCTCTTAGAAATATATAAAAATCCCCAAAAAACCGTTATCCTCAGCGTCAGATCAACGATCGACTAAATTATTTCTCGCAGAAACCCATTAACTTTCGATTCGCCTTTTTTCGGGGGCCGACTCATGAGGCCGGCAGAGGCTGTAGTTCCCGTTTCACGCGAAACGATTTGAGAACCGTCGCTTTAAAGCCCCACTTATCGAACGCCTAGTTGGTATGATAATGTAATAAAATAAATGGAGGTTGCTGTTTCCGAGCGATATAGACTCTGCCGGTCGTCTTCGTTCCGCCGGCTGCTCCTCTCCGTTCGAAGCACGGAGAACACCCTCTTCCTTCTGTCTTCGTCGGTCTCCGCCACTTTCGATTCTTCCGTCTCGTTCCGTTGGACCGTCGTCGTTCTAGCTCGTCCCGGCACCTCACTCTTCGACCCACTCAGTTTCATTTCAGCCAGCCCTCTTTCACCGCTAGCTCCCTCCCTTCCGCCCCGCCAGTGACGGAGGGGGTTGAAACGAGAATCGAGACGGTAGAAGGGAATGGAGCTCACCTCGAAAGCGAAATACAACAAGTCCCGCCGCCATTGCTGGGTCACCCTTCAACAGGAGTTTTGTCGTTGCGTGGGTGGGGGTTTGACAGCCCTATGCGACGTGTCACCCCCTTTCGACCCCGACCGCCTGGGTTCACGGAAGAAGTGGGGATCGAAAGAGGATAGAGCGGGAAAGGAAAGAGAGAGGGAGGGAGAGAGACAGCAAAGAGGAATCGAGGGAGTAAGATGCATTTATCGCTGGAAGAAGGAAGCAGGACATGTGCCTAGACCGGAAGAGGACAGCGAGAGGAATAGGGTTAACGCTTGGAAGACGGAAAAAGAAAGAGAGAAGCAGTTTGTCATCGGGTGAATAAAGGGGCGGGAGGAAGAAAGAGATACCTGCGGCCCGTTGCAGAGCGACGGAGGAAATAGATCGAAGGGTTGGGTGCAGTTTATTTATAGGGAGAAAGCGAGTCGAAGATGGAAAAAGAAAGCGAGATGAATAATACACGGGGAGAGGGATGAAGAGAGAAACGGGCAGGGAGAGAGGTCGAAAACTCCGCCCCCGCATCCGCAAAAGCGAGTCAATACTATGACCACCCATCCTTTCTCCTCCGAATGCCCTCTCGGGCAACCTGCGCCGCCTTTCTCCTCACCCCTTTCCGCCTTTGTGCCACGGGATATCGAAATTCGTTACGTGCCGTAGCGAGGATCCTCGATTTGAAGATTCCCGGCGCGGCGTCACGAAGCAAACGCGTGTTTTCGGCTGGCATCGAGTTCCGAGTCGAAATCGGTCGCGACCCGAACGAAGTTGATTTGCATCGATCTGTGAGTATTTTTATGTTGTACATAAGGGTTTTTTGGTTTCTTTTGTAGATTTCGGGATTAAGTAATTTTTGATCGGAAAATTAAATATTCGTTTTTATTCTATTGTTTACTTTATATTCATGTATAGGTATTTATACTGCCTTCGGAAATTCATCTTTTTTGTTAGCTTCTGTGCAATTTTTACCAGACGAAGGCCGAAAGGTATTTTCAATTAAAATTCGATTGCTATCACGTTAGGAAAATATTGGAATATTTGTTTCAGTTTGTCAGGAATATTTGATGAAGCAATTATAGTTCTCGATAATGTAACAATCGTATTTGTTGCTGGGATTATAAGTATGCGTGTGTAATTAAGTATTAGTCCATAAGATTGGCTTCTTATGATAACAAAGACATAGCATTTGGAGCGAATCGGATATTTCTCATTTTTCAGTTTCTTGCGTATGAAACGAAGATTTTTAAGTTTTTGAACATTTTTTTACTGATATTGAAGTTGAATATATATTAATAACAAATCTAAGAAAAAAAGTGTTGATTCTAAGTTTTAACTATCAGTTTCTCACTGTTAAATCGGAAGTGGTCTGATTCGCCTCGGTCTACCCTACCAAGATCCTAGAAAAGATGCGTGCAACCGAATAACATGGAGGGTCATTTTCAAAGAGTCCCGAGTCGAAGAAGTATCCTGGTTCGAAAAGTATTAAGGGTGTCTCACCCCCAATGCCGGGGCGTTTAACTCTCCGATTGCTTTGACAACTTAAGCAGGCCCTTAAACCTTGCTCGAACCTCGATGTAATTTATAAGCGACCGAGGGGGTAATTCCGTTGGGGACCGTCAAACTGCCATGTGGCAAAACCCCCGAGGGAAAGTCAGGGATTATACGGTGATAAATAAATATGTACGTTTATGCAACAACCACCGTGACTCGGGGAAGGCTGTACACATCGGACGCTAACAGGCGTGTAGCAAGTCAAATTTCGATTCGCCGGGATTCTCCGGGCACCCTCCATTAAATAAACAGAAATTAAAGCTATTCGGGGTCGCGATCTCTGATATTTGTCAAGAAAATAGATTCGAGTCATCCTTGATACATTGGAAGGTCAAGGATCGTGTGCCTTTATTTATGTGAAAATTAATTATTCTATTTTTTTTCTGTTATTTATTAATGTCTCTAATGTTATATATTTTGTAAAGCGTATTACGAGTACCAGATAAATGATGTTTGAGATTCTCGAAGCTTTTTAATTTGTAGACATTGCTATCGATTTATAGTGTAACACTACATTGAAAATAGTGAAATAAGGATTAATATTTTTGGCTAATGTACTTTGTACGATTTAAAAGGGACAGTTTTTGACATAGCGTATTGTGGGAAGGAAATCAATCTGGCAGAGTTACTTACGCACGGATAGTTTTATTACAAGTAGTTACGTAATCGTTACAATATATGTCACGTGATTCGGTATCTAGACTTTTACAGCAAATAGTATCACAACATGAAATATACAAGAAAAGCACAGACGAATACTTGTCTTTACAATTGTCGTAAAACTCATACCTATTACTCGTACATTCAAATCCTTACATTGAATAATACAAGAAGAAAACTGATAGAATAAACAGAAACGTGAAAATCTCTATCTCCCTCGAGTCTAAAACAAAACTTCGTCAGACTTTCGTACAAAATTGTTTCGAGGGCGTTTAGAAACGATGAACAAAACGATTTGGTCAACACGTCGAACCTAATGTTCGGTAAACATTTCTATAATAAATAAATGTGTGTGTGTGTATATATATATACATATACATACATATATATATATATATATATATTTCTATTATTCTTAAATCGCGACTGAGAATCTCTCTCGTTCGCCTTAGATACCGTTGAATTGTTACCTATATACTGTATGCATCGATGCGTTACCTTTCTCGAAGTATCCATCGTTAGTCGATCCCGATCTAGCGAGAAAACGAGATCACCAGATCGCGGATCGTGAATCGAAGGGTCATGCTTGGGGCTTCATCCTTAGGCCAAACCTTTCTCAATCGTAGAAACGATCGACTACAATTGATCCACCTCAAACATTTGGTCGGCACAATACTTTTAATCGTTCCCTAATCTTGCAATAGTCTCTTCCACAACCAACGAATATTTTCGTGACGACACTGCACACCACTGCAATGGTTCCATCGAATGCAAATCTTCGTGTTGTGCACTTCGTATTAAAGAAGTCAGTTCGATAATGAAATCCTTATTATCATAAGTTCTTGGTGATCCGATCGATTGCGAGTAGGGTGCCCTAATATCTTCCAATGTTGGACAGTTGGTGTCGTCTAAATATGAATGAGTTAAATGCATCACAGAAGTAGTTAAACATTTCCATTGGAAAGTACTCTCGATACCACGGCACTACACGTTGGAGTATCAATTCTTCATAGTAGTCAGAAAACCTTTTGAATGGTCCTGGTTCAATGGATGCTTCTAATTTTTGTACATGTCGCACAAGACTTTCTCCATCGGCGTGTTGCCGATCGTTCTGTGAAAATATATCAACTCTACACGCGACGCCGGCACTGTCCTCAGCAACGGTAACAACAGCAGCAACCTGCCGAATCGCGCCGGGCTGCCCGGCTGTTGAGCTCTGGCATGTTGGCCTAACATCACTTGCGCTTGATCCTGCAGATTTTCTATTTGACTCGAGTCCTTCAACCCACGAGTTTCTGTAACAAAAATTGGAATCCCCGTTTTGGGACATTTAGACAAATCACAGTTTTCGAATGCTTCTCAAACGGGAATTTGTTATTGGAAATATACTGCTAATGCAGCATAAACCTTCATGGAATGTTAACGTTCATCATTTTAATTTGTTCGGATATTTTTATTAAAAAGTCGTTATTCAAATCAAAATATTTTTAACTCCTTGATCTACAATATCGTGCCAGACCCATGGTGAAGATTTCTAAATTTATGTATGGATTGTAAATATATTTCTAAAAGATTTATAAATATCACTTAATTTTTCCAAATTTGAATTGAATATTATTTTTCTATTATTAATTATAATGTTTCCGAGTAAACATAGATATAGAATAAGTGTAGAATTTTCTTCTTTTTCTAATGAATTATGAACAATATCTTTGTTGAATTGGGGAAGAAATCATAGGACAAGAGGTTAACGCAATTGATTTGATGTTTTATCTATCATTTATACTCAAATCGTGAATTGTATCAAGTTGAGCGCAATCGATGCTAATCCTCAAAGTGATAATTACGAGCTGGTGTTTATAAGATATCTATTTAGATTTTTCATTTAAATATAATGATTGTAAATCACTTTAAATGTTCTAGATATTTTATTTGATTGTATAGTATAAAGTGTATATGGTTTGTTTATAGTTTTCGCAAACTGAGGTTACTTACCTGGTCTGAACAGAACGATGGCCTTCATGCAGGCAAACTCTGCAGGATCGACCATGACAGCCTTGTATCGTTGCAAAGTATCGTGCAAATGCCTTACATCCGCTGCCACCTGACTCGGTTTGCCCGTGGTGGTCTGCATGTGAATTCCGGTATGCGGCTGTGGTTGCGGCGACAACGTCAACGCAGTCAATTCTGCCGAATTGAAAAGGGGCGACGACTCTAGTGGAAGGCACCACTGTACTGCGTTTAGAAGGAAAAGTTCGGACCAGGCTTCTTCAAGAAGTATCACCTGTTACAAATATAAGATGATACAATTTATTAAATATTTTTCTAGTCGCTTTCAAGTTTCTTCTTAACCGTAGAAATGAGGTCAAAATTTATACTACTCTGTATACGATGACATATCATACGACTTTTGAATACTTTGTTGGGAGAATTCATATAACTCACTATATCAGAACTATTTGATAAATGTTGTTCAATAAAATATGAAAATTGTTATATTCTGATTTGAGATTTAGAGATTTGGGATATTAAAATGCTTTAGACATACCTGATCTCTAAAGGGTAAACTTGCGAAAGACGGAAGATTTTTCGCCCACTTGACGGCCATAAAAAGTAGCCTCGCGCTAGTTTCATAAACTGTCTCAGCACTAGCCGGCGAGTACAATGATGGGATCACAGGCGGAAGTTGCGTGCACCCGCTTCTTTGAGGCGTCAACGGTTCCTCGTTAGTCACGTCTATGCTATCCTCGGATGCGTTTCCTGGTTGAAAAGTTCATTGGAAATCTTGTTAAAACGAATCTAAAAAGACCCAAGCTTGAATGAAGAAAATAATCATTTTTTTAATAATTTCATACCCTTATTTTCTGCTTGTATTAATTGCGTTTTGGTTGATGGAAAATAAATGATAGTTTAAACACGTTACATTTATTATTATTTTTAAGTGATTACATGCTATATAGAATTTATTCAATTTTTTTGACAGTCTGTTGGAAATCATAATAAATTACATTTCGGTGTATATAAATTTGATAGAACTCATATAATAATGTTTACATATATATATAGCTATCGACTGTTTATTTTTCATCAACGTGATGTTTCGACTAGTAAAACTTATTTTAACGAATAATTAATAAAACATGAAGCCATCGATAACTACCATCCTCATTATCCTGTCGAGGTGGCGTCGGAGGGTTCACCGAATTCGTCGTCGGCGCAACAGTGGGCAAAGGCAATGGTGTTGTGTATCTCGCCATAGCTAAAGACACAGGTGGCCTGAAACATCATATTTATTCAGAATTTTAATCAAACACTTCTCTATCCTGTTTTCTTATTTAAAGGTCTTTGCCTACGGTGGTCACGGAATATTTCAAAAGAACAGCGTTTGTTCTTCCATACAATTTTATTTCCAATACGCCATCGGTATGAATATTTTTTTAACAAAGTAGTGTTCGTAACGTCATGCTTGAAATAAAACTCGTACAAACGTATCAAACGCAAACATTGAATTCGCACTATTAATTAGCGATTTCGTTGCCGGTTGTGTAACAGAGCGCAGTCGAAATCAGCATCTATCGATTCACGACTCGCGGCAACTTTAATTTGTTCGCACGCCCAGTTTTGTTTGCATACATGCAACGTACGCCGCGTAAAAATTCCGTATCGCCGAATTTTGGGTAGGTAGATGGGTTAAAATAGGTCGCCGAGTACGGTGTTATCGAAGGCAACTTCTTCACGGTATCATCGAAAGGTAAAACGAAAGAGCAGATGACGGTGTGTGATAACATTACGGTTAGCGGAAAAGCGGATCAACAGAGAGGAAGGTTAGTGCATTATAATCTGAACGAAAAGATTCGAGCGTAGCGTCATTTATATTTTCTGTATCACTAAAAGTAGATTCATTAAGACGTGAACAGCACACTCGACGAACACATACAAAATATATCGCTAAATTCACATTTGCCAGGGTACAAAACGTTTGAACTAAACAATCATCGCGTCATGTGCAGCCAACAGGAATGTCGCAACAATCACAGAAAGGTCGGCGCGGCGTCAGTCGTCCCGACGAAAATGGCGGTACCGATCGGCGAGAACTTCGCCAACAGTTACATGGAGCTGTGCAAGCAGCAGCGGTTGCGCCCGCTACCTGTCATCTGCGTGACGTTGCCTCACAGTTTGGACTTCACCACCGATCGCGTGAAAATGGACGACTGGGGTCCAATTTTGAACTCATTGTCCCTCGATCGCAGTTTAAGGTCTATCTGCGTTCGTAGTAGGTACCAGTGTCGCAAGTCTTTGGAGGAAATTAACTCCGAGGATAAAGCCAGGACTATGGGCAAAGCGCCAGTGGTGTTGTCTCGTTATCTTCTCGAATGGATGTCCCACAGCGTCGGCCAGTGCATCCGAAACTCTCCGGTGCTAACCAATCTGGAGCTAGAAGGCATTCCGTTTCCACCGGATTGCCTCACTGTGCTGTGTGTTGGCTTGTCTCACACCCAAACGCTGCGCTACCTGTCCTTCCAGCGCTGTTACATCGGCGACACCTCCTGCGAGGTGCTGTGCCGCACTGTGGCTGACATTCCGAGCATCAGATCGCTAAATCTTAGTTCCTGCGACCTGACGTCCAAATGCGGGCCAGCATTAGCAGCAGCGCTGTCCAGGCAAAAGCTGTCGCTCTACCACGACACCTGGAAGCAATCGTTGCGCTACCAGGAGCCGAATCTTGAGGCGATGCCAGGATTACGACGTTTGACGCTGAACGATAATCCCCAATTGGGCGACGTAGCCGCGAGCGAGCTGATCGAAGCCATAAGAGATAGTCTGTGGCTGAAAGCGTTGGACATGCAGCGTTGCGGACTGACCGACAGGCTCGTCAAAGACCTCTTTGAGCTGTTGAATCACAACACCACGCTGATCGTGCTCGACGTCAGGCAGAACGCGAACTTGAACGAGGATCTGGTGAAACACATCATGAAGAGGTTGGAGAAGAATAATGCGGACACTAAGTCTGAATACAGGTGGCTTGGTTCTTCCGAACAAAATAGAAGAGTGTCTTCGGCAGGTAGTAGGAAGAGAATAGTAAATGAGAACAAAGCATTGGCGAGGCCACGTAGCGCTATGACGGAGTACGCTAAGAGGCCTTACCAGGTTCCACCTAGAAATGTTAACAGTCTGATGAACAACGCGAAGAAAACGAAACTGAGACCGCACGTTCCATCGTATAAGAACCCGAGCGTTCAACGGCGACAGCAAGACCCGCAGCAGATCGTGCAATGCGTGCAGACGAAGCAGAAAGTGTCCCTTCATTTGGATCTTCAATCTCATATTCAATCGGTTATGGGCGAGGCCAGTGGGAACACCGTGAGTAATCAGACTTACGGTGGCAACGTTCAGCAGGTGACCGACAGGACATCTTCAAACCACATGTCCACAGGTCAGAATACTAAAGTCGACGCAGCGACGCAAATGGCGGACGGCTTGGACCTAGAGAATTCAGACAGGATAAAATTGGTCCAGGTTCAGTTAGCAGAAGCGAAGGCAGAGCATGAACGTCTGTTGGAAGAAACTAGGCACAGTGATCTTTTGCTAGCAGAGGAGCGCAATCGTCGCGAGGAAGCAGAGACGAAGCTGAACGCGATGAAGAAGGATTTTATCCAGTTGGAGAACGCTTTGAAGGACAAGGAAAAGGAAACGAGCGGATTACTGCTGATCAGGCAACAATCTATGGAGGAAATCTCCAGTTGTTTCGAGCGTCTGTTGAAGATACTGGACAGCGTGACTAATAATCCAAGCAGAAAGGACACGGCTGTAGCGACTTTCGTTAAAGACGACATAAAGAGATGCATCAGCTCTGTCATTCGACACACCAAGTCGGAGAATCTGCGACGTGCGTTTGCAGTAAACGTTGACGAGGACGAGTCGATTGGCTACACCGAGCCGATGAAGAAGTTCGCCAAGTCGGAAAGCGACATGAGATCGACTTTGCCGCCGATGTATCTGGAGAGAAACATAGGAGACAGCCCGGACATCGGTTCGCCCTCGCTGGACGCCAGAATACTGCGCCACGAAAGGGAGTTGATGTCTCCCAGGAAGAGGGCGAGGGCGTTGTTCGCGCAGATCGTTCACGGGGACGCGGTTGTGGAATTTTCTACCAATGAAGATTAGAAATTGTGAACGTTAAACGTTCAAGGGAATTTTTAATTTTATAGAAAAAAATATTTATACGTATATATGCAACTCTGTGCAGATAAAACACAAGTAATCGAGTGGACCGTTGAAACAGCGTAGAATAAATGTAATAATTGGGTAGGAAATGTAGAGAAACGCGTTGGGAGGAGGAAAATTGATAGATCGAGATATACCGATCTTCTGACTTTCTCGGAGCAATCCGAGAAGATCCAATACGAAGTATTGCATTGAGCAGGCTTTTCATTGCGCGTCAAAATGTGCCGCGAATCGATGATAATGATCGAGTCGCAGTGTAAGCTATTTATATTGTCTCATTTTTCTTAGCTGGATTATTGTAGACTGAATAAACGTCATTTACTATTTCTAAACGGCGTTGTTTTCATTCGTATTATTGTGCTGGCCGGATTTCCTTCGTCGGGTACAAAGGATATTACCGGGATTGTTCCCTATTGTATTCCGCTTTTCAGTAGATTTTCTTTAACGTGTAGACCACTGCGGAGTCTTATACAATCACGAGTATATATGGGATAAGCTTATGTAACTTCTAAATTTCTCGAACGTGTAACCATAAGCATCGACTGCATAGGAAAGTAACATTTAGATTTCATGGAACTATGTGACGCGACGTCATGCAAAATACATTTCAAAAATATTTAACGATTGGAGTGTCTGGGACAGGATTATACCAAGAAGACGAAGCGAAGTTAATTTGATTAAAAGAAAGGATGGAGAAATTAAAAATTTATAGTATAGGGTAGACTAAGGCAAATCGGATCGGTTCAGATTAAACAGCGGAAAACTAATAGTTGAAATTCAGAATGAACTTTTTTTTTCAAAGATTTCTTATCAATAGACATTGAGCTTCAATATCAGTAAAAAAATGATTAAAAAACCTTCATTTTATAAGCAAATTCTGAAAAGTGAAAAATATCCGATTCGTCAAAATTCCAGGGTGACTGTTGTTGAAATTTGATTATGAAATACTAGAAATTGTTTGTAAACAGAATACATTTGTATTAAATAACAAATTGTAGGAATTTGCTGTTAAAAACCTGTTACTGCATAAAGATCCCCAGTGCATCTCTAATGAACAAACAAATCACTCTTTCAAAGTTCCTCTAAGGTTAATTGATTATTCGAACCGTGGAAGTAGAACTCAAGGAATAAACAGAGGCGTGTGAAATTCAAAAAAATTCGAAACACGTATCGGTGTTGTCCAAAGAGAAATACATAATTTCCAGGGAACGTCAGTATCGACAGAAAGCGTCGCCGCAGCACACTCGCTGTCGCTTTTAACGTTCACCCCTTGGCGCTCTATGGATTTTCCATTAGTTCCAACCTGAGTACCCGATTACCTGAAAAACGGTCAGCTACGGGCTACTAGTCAAAGGTAATTTTTCATGATAGATCACGCTCGGCGTGGCGTGTCGCGAGCGTAGCCTGCTCACGACGGCGAAAAGTATGCTGCTCTGCGGCAGAAGATCAAACGTGCCAACAACGTCGTCGGTTCTCTTGGTCTTGCCGTTGCCTCCCGATGCAATCGGCGATTATCGATCGCGAATCCTCGATGTTACCTTTAATCCCCCTTCCCCTGACCCCTTGGATCGCTTTAAAATTCATCCAGGCTTTACGTCACCTAAATACACGCAACGGAACGCTTGGCTCGGCGCGAAAATATATTTTATACGCCGTTCCTAGAACTGGAGCAAGGTCCTTAGAGACCGCCGCTTTCGATACTTTGAGGGTTCCGATTAAGGTTCCGATGCTAATCGTGGCCACGGATATTAATATTAGACCGCCGTTCGTATTAAAATACTTATTTAGAGAATGTTACTGGTTAGTTATTGATTTATTTTAAGTCGCGCCTACTTGTTCTGGGTTGCGAGCTATGCTAACATTTATTGAGGAACGTGATTGCTTTGATACGGAATTTCCGACTAAGGCTATACTATAGCTATTGGAAAATCCTTTTTAGCACGGAATTTTCTATTTCAATTCACTATCAGTAAACTTAATAATTGAAGTATCTTTTTCTTTTTATATTTATTTAATTGTTGAGTGAGGAGAGAAGAATGAAAACTAGAGATTTCGAGAAGGTGAATTGACTAGAAATTGCTACGATATTTTATAAATGACAGAATAATATGAAGAACAATATAAAATAATATTATAGATTCATACTTCTTTTATTTAAAGAAATACGTGCACGAAATGATCATGTTTATTTATCACAGATTTGTTTAATTAAATGATATGCTAAAGTTGTGATAATTTGGAAATTTGAATCCAAAATGGGAAACTGTCACTCACCCAAAAACACCGACGGCCACTGCGGCTTCCCGAAGCGCGCGCTCCTGGTCCATCTCGACGAGAGCCTCCGGTCTGATGGTGGCAGTGTTTCTGGGTTGCCGTTCATTCTGCACGGCTGCAACAGAAGCGCACACCTTCGATGTAACGTCGATAACAGGCGTTAATTGCAGCCACGAATTAATTACACGCTGGTAAATTAACGCGAACCATTCCCGTGCACCGCCTCGCGCACGTGCCATTGCTATTGGCGGTAATGTTTTCCGGAATTTACGCGTGTGAACGTCGTAATCATCTATTGCTTTACGAAGAAATGTACGAAGGTGATTCGTTTTTCAGTGAAATGCAATAAAAAGTTCGAAATCTTGGGGATTTCAATTTTCTTTTGAAGAATTCAGAGATATAAAGCTCAAAGACAACTCTGCCTTACTTTAATGGTACGGAGAGGACAAAAAATGTTTCTGAATCGATAATAATGAATTAAAACGTGCTGATTCTATATGAATAACTAAATCGAATACTTAAAATTATATATTTCATATGCATCTCGAATTCCTCCACTTAACCCAAATCTGCTTTTGAAAATTTGTTAAACATTCATTCGCTTAAAAATTATTCATCGCGTTTCTATTCTTTACTCAGTTTCTACTTATAATTACAGCACAAAAAGTGATATTACTTCTTCGCCAATTTTATTATCGTCATTATTTTTTACTAAATTATTTTGTAACACTATTAGTATTTATAAACTCTAGCACAAGTAAAGATAGCCAATAATTCACGTGATGTGTACTTAAGAATATTTTTTGCAATTTTTAATGACAATTTTCAACGCCAACTCTCTAAACGACTAGATTTGAGTCCGTAAAATATATGTCCAACGAACAATAATAACGAGTTAAAATTGAATGATGTTTGTGTAATATTATGGATGAGGTTCGCTCCATTCGAACGACGAGAATTTTGGGTGGTTCCGGGGGAATAAAACGACCATCCAGATGAGGCAATCGACCGAAAGAGGCTCTCGACAGGCGTTCCATGGAATATTCTTCGATAATGCGTTCACTGCATAGAAAATCCAACTCCGGGGAGTTTCTTGGTTATTGAAATATTAGTAGAACGACTTGGTTCGAAGAATCTTGCTCGATTAATCGGAGAACAAACGATTGGTCGCCACCCTCTCGTCAAACTCACGTAACGCGCCGTTATATCACGCCAGCAGCCTGTGGCTGACAAGCGTGAATTTAACAGACGTGTAGGAATCAGCTGCGTTTATTGTTTGTATATACTGCTATTCGATAAACTCCCATTCGGCGAGCCTGCTAAACAAAACAGTGTTGTCTCCTAGAATAACATTATGTACTCGTAGACCTCGAGATTTCCCTCCCTTTTCTATTCCCGTTACAGCACGTGTTTTGTTTCAGGTTATAAGAACTGTCTATTGATGTCTCCTATTTTAAATTGACAGCGCGTGCTACTTTTGATCTTGGTGTAATTATAATGAGAGAATTGTCATGTTTTCTTTCACTTTTATCGTTTATAGAGAACTTTGATAGGAGTTTATAACGATTGTCTTCCTGTATTTTAGAAATACATTTGATTTTTAGTAGTTTCTTACTTAATACAATGTTTTTCATAATTTATATCAAGAACTGCTATATTCACCTAAAAGTATGCAAGCAAGTTTGAAGAATATCCTCAAAATGTCCAAGTAAGTAGTTCGACGTCTTTAATAGTCAGACACAAGGAAATAAGCTTCTTGCGCAATACAGTACAAACAGCATTAACGAAATCTTACATAATTAGAAATATAATTTATCTAACAAAAATATCTAATGCCACATTCACATGATAATTCACTAACGCAAATGTACATTTTAACATGCAAGAAGATTCAAGTCGCAAACTTTCAGTTACCAGACCGAAATAAGAACGCTTTTCAGATACTGCTCATTTCACGATACTTCGAAAGATACTTTCAAATGATCCTTTGCGGTACTTCCAGATAATACTTATTTCGTCTAATAATATACATGGTCAGAGACGAAACTGAAAGCAGAAAATACTATTCAAAATAAAATCTCAAATTATGGGCAACGTCTTAAGGTTAAACCGCGAAAAACGCGACGATCATTCCTCCACTTTGGCTCTCAAAAAGGGGTCCGTGACGTCAGACACATGTTAATGGCGACACGATTAGGGCACTCAGTGGTGTGTAACAGGGAGCAGAATTTTTTTCCCGAGCATCCCTTTTAGCGCGGTACGGGTGCACAGTAATTTCGTAATAATAAAAAGCGTGCCGGCTCGCCGGTGCCCGGCGTCGTGCTGCCTGCTGAGCGGCTTAATGGGATCCTCCTACTTCGTCAAGCCTTTGGCATCGGCGCGGCGCGGCGTCTCCCTTTTTCGCGCGGCTTCTTCCCTTCCTTTGCTCCCAGCCTCTCACTTTTTCTACCGTTTACCCTGCCGGCCGCCGTCGGGAAAGATAAACGCCCTACCCGCGGCCGCGTCCTATCCTCTACGTCCCCGGGAAATTTTTCTTCCCCGTGTTACGCGTGCTTTCCCTTTTGTCTTTTTAACTCTTCAGTCCGCTTATTTTCACACAGTCCCCTGGTACTTTTTATCCCGTTACTTTGTGTTCTCCTTACTTTAACGCGTACCGACCGAGTAACGGGTTACCGATACCAAGATCGGTAGGGAGTATTCGACGATTTCACGGCCTGTTCGCTGGAAGCGTTCTGCTGCCGGGATTAAAAACTGTGCAATATTATAAGTGTCATATCGAATTGTCTTTTCTTCTATGAGAATAAACAGCAAGGTCGATGACACTCGTTGTTTTAGACATCTTGAACTTCGAATTGTTGCTGTCACGTTGTCTTTGAACTTTCTGTATTCTAGATGAATATAAGAGTGTGATCATCATGGAATTATATAATTTGTTGAGGAAAGTTTCTTATTGTAGATGAAGTTTACAAAATTACTATTTTGTAAAATCTCGCGTAATTTATTAACTCCATGCCTGATATTGAGCTGTATCCCCGACGAAGGTTTCGAATGAAATTCAACAAATATGATTACTAATCATATGTTAAAAAAAGTACGTGTCTATTCAAAGAAGTTGTCAGATGAAGAACGAACAGAAAGTTTAAACTTTCAAAGAAACCAGCGTATCTTCTTCAGTCAAAGGGTTCAGAAATCCAAACCCCTATCTAAAGTCTAAACAGTCGAAGGTCCCCGTTAAAAGAACAGTGTTTCTCACGGGCGTCTGTGAAAATACGATCGTTAATTCTTTTCGCCCGACAAATGAAGACTTCTAGCTGTCCGTTCAAACCCTTCCCATTATTTCCACGTCTCCGTCGTCCAGTTTCACGCCGGGAGAGATAAACGCCCTTTTACAGATCGTTTCACTCTCATTTGCGTGTTACTCACCGTGGGAGGTCTGCCTCCCTTTTTCACTTTGCTTCTTCCGACATCTAGCCTCTCCCTCTGTCTCTCCCTTTCCTCGTCGGATTCATTGCTATGACACAATTTACATACGAGACGGTCCTCTCTGTCTGCCTTCTGTCGGATTCCGCGCATCGCAGTGCGCGCGTGTTCGTCCCCCACCCGGGAGAAAAATAAAAAGGAAGCCGAACGAGACAGACGTCGACGGTTACGGAGATCCTTGCGTCCACGGATCGGGCGCACACGTTGCATACGTTTATTTCCCTCCAATTAACCCTTCGGGGCTGGCCGTGGCCACGCGACCGTCGCTAACGACCGCGGTGTTTACGACGCCGAGCGTCGTTTCGCCTGTCGCGGTGAACCGCACCGCTCCGCATGCGGCAAAACGCCGAATCCGCGCCGTTGCTTTATGCCTCGCCGCCCCCTCCTGCCGCTGATTTTCATTAAATGCCCGTAATAACCGCAGTAATTCCGCTAGGAACAGCTGCTTTATTGACGCTGGTTTCGGAGCTAGATTTGTTGCCAATGGATATTCGATTTTATCGTTAAGAACATTTTCACGCTGAGACTATCGAGTGTTTAATTTAATTCATAAGTATGTGATTCTTATAAAAATTATAATAGTGTATTTTTTTGAATTTTTATTGATATTCCTTGGATTATGCATCGTGTAGGTGGAACTGTTAATTTCTAGAATAAGTGTGGATGTTTATCTAAGGCTTCGAACTGTCAGTAATTAGCAAAATTGTAATTGGTACGGTAGTTTTAGTGTTATTGCTACTTTGTGGATTTGATTAATATAAAAAGGAACATGATAGAATTCTTTGATTTTAATTGTATGTGAATATTTTTGAAACGAAAAGTGTATGGTTTTGAAGAGTAAAATGTTTCAATGGAATTTTTCTTAAAATCATGTTTTTCAAGATTTCAAGATTATCAATGTTCCTTGGAAAGAAAATACTCATACAGTCGAATTCTAAAAAAGAAAACGAATTAATTCGTCAGTCATATTTAGTCGCTCTTCCTCTTTCAAACTTCATAATTTTTGAATTTTAGTAAAGCGCAGTATCTGTATTAACATGAACTATGTTGCACTGACGTTCATCGCTGCAAACAGTGAATCATATCAATTTTATACATATCGAGTTTTGCCAGTGAACGTTTAATCTGGAACATCGATCCGGTTAGTAGGTTAAACGCTACAGTATTTGCAAATTAAGATGCCCACGGACTCCCAAAAATCACATTCAGTAATAAAATAAACGAAAATAGACGGTTTTCGCTAAGAAACATTTTCGTAAGCAATCAAATCATAGGGGCAAAGAAGTAAGTACGTGCAATTTCGCCGGCGTCGAACGTAACTCCCGACACTCGGGAATCTAATTCCCCGGAAAGAGGCGATGTTCCATAGAAACATCGTCGTTCCAGTCGTCAAGGGAACCGGGATCCAATTGGAAGTATTTCTTCTTACGACGTCAAGTTCGGCAATAAGAAAGTTGCTGCGTCTTCAGAGGGGTCTCAGCGAGGGTGGAAGGTAAGAAGAGGAAGAAGAAGAAGAAGAAGAAGAAGAAGAAGAAGAAGAAGAAGAAGAAGAAGAAGAAGAAGAAGAAGAAGAAGAAGAAGGAGAAGAAGAAGACGACAACGACGACGACGACGAAGAAGAAGAAGAAGTAGTAGTAGTAGTTGAAGTAGAAGAAGAAGAGAAACAGAGACACGGGGGAAATGCTCTTTTGCCGTGGCAGGTGCGCCTACGGTTGGCTGAGAGGCATTAAGAGTTGAATCGAACGGTGCCACCAAAGCAGACTTTCTACCCCGCGCCAATCACTCCGCCTTTATCCAGTTATTTATGTCGCGAACATAAAAGACCCTCGTTCGAATTTCGTTCTTCCCGAACACGGGACACTGGGAGCGTTGATTGATTCCCACAATACGGGTTTACCTGCGACAACGGGTAATCTAATGTATCGATAACCGGTGTCCCCGGGAATGTCGCCTCCCATGAACGTTGAAATGGATATTTCTTTCAGTGGGAGACGTTTTCTCGCATCGAAGAGGCGAGGATTTTCCATTTATCAGAATGTAGTTAACAGTCGCGTCAGACATTTTCCTCTTTTCCACTGTCCGCTTATCCGGAAATAAATCGAGGTCTTTAGCGATAGTGTTTAGAGTTTCGTGTATGTATATCTCTTATTCGCGTTTGTCTTGCTATGTGTCATATTAATGACAAGTATCAATTGTATTAGCTTTTGTTTGTGTTAAATGGACTTCTTTCAATTGAATTTATTTCCGGACGATCCTGTAATTTTACTCTGCCATTGACAAAGATCAATTGTATTATCAAGTAGTCATGTATTTGTTGACATGTTTTATATAGTAGGTGAGACTTTGTCAATTGGTATAAAAGAGAATAGAAATCTCTTTTTTTCTGTTTCAATGTTAGTATTTGAGCGTATTAAATAAATTTTTTACTGTAAAATGACTTACCTACATAGAAAATCAAATAAAGATAGATTTACATCTTTAAAACTGTATATTGATGAAATAACGTTCTAGTTGATTTGAATTATCTTCATACGTGGTAGAAAATGAATCAATTGGTTATTATTAAATATGTAAACACAATTTACACAGTACTGTGAATAGAAATTGTCCTGCCATTCTTGTATTTTAGACAATTTTCATAGCTATTCTATATAATCACAGTTTCTCTGTAGTTTTATTCAACTTGTTCAAAATGTTTAGGAACAATTAATTTGAATATTTGATTAGATAGAAGTTGAGTATGCTCACCGTATGGCATCCATGTAGTAGGAAAGACATGTTCTTTAAAACGTAACAAAACAAAAAAATTGATTCTATTTAAAACAAATTTCTTTCATTGACGAGACATCATACATTGAATATAAAAATCGCGAGATACCATCTACATGAAACGAGTTGAATAATTCTTTCTGCGCTGAATCCCAACATAACAATTCAGACATATCGATGTCGCAAACATGTATCTGAACATTTCGAACAACTTCATCGTTTTATGAATTTACTTTAAAATCGAAATCCTGCGAATAACCGTATAGATACAGTTTCCAAATATATCTCGCTTAAAGATGCTGAAGATTACGAAGAGACTGATGTAAAATAGATTGAAGTAGAAGTCATCCCAAATGTGTGAATTTCATCCCTAATCCAAACACTTCCTACTCATTCTCTACAGCTCTCTGATTAATAATTACTCTCCCTTTATATTAATTACATTTAAAGAAAAGCATAAGTAAAGAAAGGAAAGGAGAAATAAATTTTCGCGGAAATAAAAATTCCCCGGGTAATCTTCAATGATATTACTCACCGTCTTTATTCATCCCCATGTGCATACATTTCTTCAGGCGACATGCTTGACATTGATTTCGGTGAGGTTTATCCACGATACATCTTCCGGTACCAGCTTGACATCTGAACATAAAATATTGCGTAACATGTAAGAAAATTTTAAAACGAGAGAACCTTCGCAGCACAAGATATTTAGATGATATAAAATGAATATTTCAACAATAATACCATTGTAACTAACAATAAAAATCTTCGAAGAAAATAAGTGAACTGTTTTCACTCATAAATAATTATGGAGTAGTTTATAATATTTTCTGCGAATAGTTGGAGGTTATTTAACACTAAAACTACCGAGCAATTAAATTAACTTTTCGAAATTCTTCTATAGAAACTCCAAGAGTGCATCTATTGAGACTTTAATTGATTTACAATTCGGTTTGCGTATTGTTAAATTAAATTTTTTAATAATTTCTCAAAGTAACATTTGTTATATTTTTAACAATTACAAAAAGAAGAAATCAGGAATGAATAACTTTGACCTGTTTGGTAGCTTTAGCGTTAAGATTCTAATATTAAGGTTTCGTTGATTTTTATCGACGAAAAAGGTTTCCGCCGTGAAGTCGATCGATCATCAACGATGACGTTTCACCGACGACGGTAGCAACTTGGTGTCTGTTGTCCCTTTCGGAAACGCGACAAAATTCGAACGCACTTGCCGGAAATCCTGGCTGCGCACTCAGGAGTTGGCGTTAAATTCGATTACTTTCATTGTTGGGCTAACTCGGTTATCCCTCCAAGCTGACTAACGTAAAGAGGCGACCGTTCGAGGTCACGTACCTTCTTATCCCTCTTAATTTCACCCAATCCCGTGGTAGTCTCGTGGTACTCTGTTTCCTGGGGCTTAAAGCCGCTTCTTCTTTCCTACTGCCCGATTCTGCTCTGCAGTATTTGACACAGAAATTATCGTGCTGAACGTAGCCACGACAATATGTATTTCTCACCATTTTTCATTTTCTCTTGTAATATTTGTTTGACAAAGTTATCCCGTTCGCCATTCAAGCCTTTTTCTCTAACATTTTTCATTGCATCTTTAGAAGTAATAAATAATAACTTTAGTTGGATACAGAAGATTTATTATTAGTCTTTTGGATCATACGATAAATACTTCATTTATGTTGTTGCTATTCAGAATTACTCAAATATTAAATACCACAGATGTCTCTTATTAACAGAAACAAAATCTCTCTCGGATTCTAGGAACTACCATGAATTGACTGAATCAAACCATCAATCGGATCAAAAACAGTGTAAATTACGTCCTATCAAATTATCTGATGTATACTGCTTAAATTCATTAAACTAGAATCTTTCAAAGTATCAAACAGAAGTATCACAATGCTGTAGCTAGAATATCGAAGTCCCAGCAAAGGACAATAATCGGTAAGGAGGCTTCATGACCGAGAAAACGAAGGGTTAACCGTTCCAGCGCCGGTCGAGCAAGAAAGAAACAATGAATCGGCGGAGCTGTAATTCCGGAACAATAGCCGGAGGCTCGATCGGTAGATGACTGGGCGGTCGATCGATCCCGAGTCTACGTTAGCGTGATTTTAACTAACGTCACTCACAAGGAGGCGGCTGGATGCAGCCGCGCGATGAAAGGACACCGCCATTCTGAAACTATCTTGTCCTGAGGCGGTTGAGTACGAAGGGCACCGAAGGGTGGCTGCGTGCTGTCTTGCCAGCAGGGTTCCTCTCGCAAATTGATTTGCGTTCACACCCCAGCGGAACCTCGGCGGTGCCGGTGGCCCCCGCCGGGGTCTCCCGGTGCAACACGAAGGGATACGTCCACCCTTGGTCTCCCCCGGCTTTCACCCTTCAGAACCACATCATACATTTATTTACGCATCTCTCTATTCCTCGGTCGGACAGCATTGTTTGGTTCATTGAGTTACCGGAAACATGTGCTGCCTGTTATCACGCCCGCCGACCGCGGATCTGGATGATTCAATGACTCTTCGACGCGAATGTTGGTTATTGTCGGCTGCTACCGAGTGCATTTGTAAAATCGTGTATCGGTCTTAGTAGATTTTTTCTCGACCCTTTGTCTGTTCACGTTATTTTTGGTGTTTTAGTAGAGATATGGAATTTTATATGGTTTCACAATACTGTGTCCGAGGAAACGTTGCAATATTATATCTGCTACTATCTGAATTAACGTTTTACTTAAATCATAGAGCTGCAAGGAGGTTTTTTTGATTGGTAGGTAGATGTGATTTTCATCGTTAACCCTTTGTCCTATGATTTATTTCTTAACTATCATCGATAAAATTACTTTATTGTTAATAATGTATTAGGAGAAGAGAAAATTGTGATGCTTATTTTATGCCTAAGATTATTCTAAATGTTAATGATGGATAATAGAAAAGTAGTATTTAATTTATATTTAAACAAAAGAAACAACACTTAGATTTGTCAAATTCAGTTTAAAATCTTCGCCACGAGCCTGACACAATATTGTAGGTCAAGGGGTTAAAGAAGTACAGTTAATGATAAAGAAGAATCAGTTTGTGTATCGTTGTATAGTAAAGTGATTGAAAAAATTAATGCTGGGCGGGGTTCGGGAGGGTGTGTGGAAAATTGATTAGGGTAACAAGGTCCTTCCTTTAACACCTTGAGGATGGAGACCAATATTTGTATTCTTGCTTAGATATCATTTGCGAAATAAAGACAGACTTCATTCCTACGATGAAAATAAGTATAAAATGAATTAATACAGTATAATTAATTTAAATGAATATTTTTTGCTTCGATCGTACAAAATGAATTAATCTTTTGCATTCACGCTGTGTCTCATATGGTCTACAGTCTGAAGAAAAATGCTCTATTGATGTCTCATAAAAAAAATTTCAGCTTATCTTTCATGGCGAGAAGAACCGATTCATTGCGCGCGAAATTCAAGTGTGGCCCGATGGGAATTAGTGCAAACTCTCCACACAATCTGCACCATGCATGATCTATTTAATTGCATCTAACCGATCCGTGAAGTTGGACTGTAATCCGACGATTATAGTCGATGCGCCGCCGCGGCGCATCACGTCGAGTCGCATCTGTCGCGATCCGTTCCCCTCTACGAATAATTGGTTATCTGTGCGGAGGCTCTTCACTTTTTACCGCATTACGGCCATTCGACAAGAGTTCATCGCAGAGAATAAAGAAAGGGAACAACTGGACGCTATGTTAGCATGAGAAAGTATAGAACCACAATAGTTGATGTTCGATTCGTTTTAACAAGGATTCAATTAAATAATAATGTGGGTATAGTAAAGAATCAAATATTTTTCATTTTCATGAACAATGAAAGACAAAAGAATTTATACAATAGCAATATAATCAACGTCGTGTCTTCACATGTATTTTCCTTAACGCACAAAAGTCAGTAACCATCAATGTTCCAATATACTATTTAAATTATTCATTCTCATAAACAGGGAAAAACAAAAATTTCTACCGGAAACCTTTCTCTCTGTTTCTAAAACGAAAGATAATTTTAACAAAATTCTTCAAAATTCCAAGATAATGTAGTTTCTCACAAAACAATATCCTACATATCCCATCTCTTGTGCTACAAAAGAGTACAAAGGAACAAATACCGAAAATTAGAATCACTTCGTGAAACAGAAAAGTATCACGAAAGTTCATTTACGAAAGCAGCAGGTAATTGAAAAGGTTGCTCGAGAGAAGCCGCGAGGTGCCGCGAGGGGCTGCAATCTCAGTCTCACATCAGATCGAAATTTGTCAGTGGATCCTGTTATGGCGTTTAATGTCAAACTGGCCAGCTAGTGGCGCCATGTGGTCCAAGTCGAGTAGGCTCATCGTAATACCAGGCAACAATGCGGAACGGCATAATGTTGGACCCTGCAGGTCCTATCCGCCTAACCCGACGGGTCCGTGTGTGCGCACGGCATACTATTACCATCCCCTGGGAACGGCCATCCATCTCCATCGGATCCCTCTCAACCCGGAATCGCTGTCTGATACGCTCGATCCGTTTTACGCCGGGCCACATACGCGCCCGCCACTCCTGCCCGTGTGCGTGCATCCCTTTGACTACGTACGTGACTATCGATAACAGACGCCATAGGTGTGCGCGTTAAGCCTGCCGAGGAGATATACACGACTCGATATACAAACTATTAACCCCCGTGCCCGCTCTTTGAAAAATAAATGCTGCTCGAGCTGCCAGCCGTTTTTGCACGCGTGACCGGCATGCAAACCGCGCCGGACGGAACCGTGTACACTCTTTTCCCTCGACTGGATGCGGAATTTTCGACGTCTCTTTTCGGGGCATCTTTCGAAGTTTTACCACTTCGAACTACTACCACTAGAACTACCGAGTATTTAAACTGACCCTTGACAATTTCTTTATAAAAACTACAAGCGTGGATTTATTAAGATTCGAATGGCTTTACATTTCAGCTTAGATATTACTTGATCAGCTTCTTTAGTAATTTCTCAAAGAAATGTTCGTACCGTTTTAGTAATCACAAACGAAAAAATCAAGGAATGGGTCATTTTGACCTATCTGGTAGTTTCAGTGTTAAAGGATTCGATTGATTTTATAATAAAAAGATGGGAAATGTTTTAGTACGTTGTCAAAGGTCTTTGTGATATTTACTGTATTGTTATATAAGTTTTCAAAGTAAAGTCATTCATTAGAAAATCTTGTAAGAATAAGGATTTCTTAGAAGTAATTGTTTTGCGTACTATGTCTTCCTAAAAAGTAAGATTTAATTTCATAAAAGTTGTTAAAAATCGAACTCTGTATTTAAGACGTCTGATTGTATTTAAAAATAAGAACTAACGCGTATGTGTAAAATAACCCAACACTAAAAATATATTCCTTGATCGATGAATATTTTAAGTTTACCTGTATATCAGCTTCCGTCGAACACTTCTCTTGAAGAAGCCACTGCATCCGTTACAAGCGAGGATTCCGTAATGTTTCCCGGAACTGGTGTCGCCGCAGACCAAGCATATCAAACCATTGCTGCGGGGCGGTTTGCTGCCGTGTTGCGGTTGCTGTTGCTGCTGTTGTTGTTGCTGATGCTGTTGGTGCTGTTGTTGCTGCTGTTGTTGCTGCTGTTGGACTTGTCCCAGTAAATTGGGGTGGCCATTTCCGAGAGCAGTTAAGTACGGTGACCTCGCAAGCGGGAAATCCGTTGGTATCCCTCTGCACAGAGGAACAGGACACTCCTGAACGGACCTCGAGGCGTAAGGATCGTGACTCGAGGTCGATCCTGTTGCCCCTAAAGGACTGTATCGTTCTGGTAATCCTGGGGAGATTACGCTGCTCTCTCCCGAATCTAGAAGCAAATAGTTTCTCTGTTAGCTACCTCTGGTCGACATGTTTTCGTAAATGAGTCATTTATAGAAGTATACAATGATCTATGTCATCGTTCTAGAATACTTGAAACATTGCGAGCTAAACGAGCTTCACTTCTTTGTTGAAGGAAATTTTGAATTATGACTTGAGTTTATCTCTTGCAACTGAAGAGGAATGATGAAAGAACATTTATGAGTTAATAATTTGTGGTAATTTATGTTAGAATCAAAGGTAACAAGAATATTGGAACACTTTTTTTAGCGTCTCTCCTGAAATTTGTTGTATTTGTATAGAAATTTATTTACTTTAAAGAAGATTGGTTTATTTCTATATCCAACAATCGACGTATTATATTTCTGTGATTGAATTTGATTCATCGTTTTCGATCAGCTGGCGGATCTCAATCCGTTAATCCGAGAAATCTCTTCCGTGGGTTCCAATGACCAACCCCAAATCGTACATGGCACATTCACTATTCTTGATTGATTCTCAAGAGGTGGAGCCAATGGATACAACGATAGCGCATAAAATAATTGGATGGTCGTAAGAAGTGCTATAGATCATTCCGAAGGATTTACGATTCAGTTAGCCAGCGTTTGTAAGATATGTGATTAATTTAACGACTGATCTAAAGTAATGATAACAATTCAAAGTTATAGTTAACTGCATATTTTTAAAAATTGTTCTGTCATGTATTGAAATGTATGAAAACGATGAGTGTAAAATAATATTCCTCAAAATTCGATGACTTTTAACAACCTGGTTCACCTTTCAAAAATTATGGTAAAGAATATCGGAATAATTAAATTCTAAATTTAATACACATATCGCAATCGATATGTATATTTCAAATAAATTTTAAGTAAATTTCAAGTTATGTCAGTGAAATAAATACCTACAGATTTTTCGACTGAATCACAATTCGAGACACTATACTTTCCACCCTTAAGGGACAAGCGGTTTCTTTTTCGCATCCCTTAAGGCTTACCGACCAAATAGCGAGGGCAAACAGTATTTACATCAAGAAATGAGTTCGTAAAAACCGCAGAAAGTAAAGATGAGCCACCATAAATATTTATGATTTCAAGCAGGAATGAAAGAAAGAGGAAAGTTAGATAATTCTTTTGATTCACCCTCTTACGCATTCGTTACTTCTTGTCTTATTATTTGTCTTAATTGAAGGATTTACTTTCTATATTCAATATCAATGCTAACCTAGGAATGTCTTCGTAGTACGATGAAAGGGTTTCATTAATTTCGATTTGACTAACTTATTTATTTTTTACAATTTTTTAAATACATTCAAACTTCGAATTTAATTAAAAATCAGACAATTTTGCAAGTTTAGATTGTAAAAAGAATTACTCAAAAAGGCAGAGAATTACTGAAAGCTATTCGTAGAGACTGCACGATTTGTTATTAAAATAACAATACGTATTTAAATGAATATTCTCAAACTTATCGAATGGGAAATAATGTAAAATTATGCGGGGTGCTTTAAAGTTGAAATTGTGGAACTTTGTCAGTATATTTTATCAATAAAAGTATTTATAGGCACGGAGACCCTTTATAAAAAATGTTACGACGAAAATATTCCAGGAATGGCAATATCAGAGTTGACGTAACACGATGTATTAATAGATCGATCATGTTTTCTTGTGTTTATTCGAACCGGATTTACAATAAAAAATTATTAAACCTACACAACCCCGCTTCTAATTTTAAACTGTTAAACCTGTTCCGAAGTAACTATACAGAAAAAATATTATATTTAAGAACCCTTAATAAATACCATTTCTATTTGTACTAACCATGCGTCGATTATTTCATTCAGTGACAGATCATTCAAAGAAAGGGTGTAAATGATTTCTTCGAAAATTAAATTGTACAATATTAACCGCGATAGGTGACAATCCGACAAGCGTACTTAATCGGAAAATAAATTTCATTGATAACTTCCTCCCGTTAACGATATTAATTGGAAGATAGAGGTGCAAAGAGATCGGAGACCGGCGAACATCTGCGTGATCAACGAAATGTGATTTCGCTTCTCCACTCGGGTTTATTAGTCACGCTGCCAGCCCCGACGAGCCGCGAGATCTCCCTGGAATCGTATTTGTCGACTACCTCGTACCCGATCGAAAACTCGTTCCGGTCTCGTTAATGCCACGGGGTCAGATAGGATCCGTTCGAATTACCATGCGAATCGACAACAGGTCGATACAGGGTTAGGGTCCTGCTTGTAACCCACTACAAAATAATTTAACTGTGCCCTAGTCTGTGAACTTATTTAAAACCGAACCGACTCGAACATCCCCTCAAAAGAAATTACCAGTCCGCGGATCTTATGCAGTTATACTGGGCATGAAAGTTGCATGTAATGCAATGGAGTTTTCGCTAAATATTAATGAAGGTTTTATTTCGTTTTTCATAAAATCAATCAATTATTAACTCCATATAGCCAATATTACTATAAAACGAATGCAATAGAGTTTATAACGCATTGTTCTTTTTACTTGGGAAATACCTAATAGAGAAAATGAATATTTGTTACACTTTTATCTATGTAAACTGGTTAGTGAAAATATGGTGTTGCGTGAAAATCAATGGTTCAGAAATCAGGATTGTGTATTACTTATTTTATAATTATTCATCGATCAACGTATAGGGAAAAATTTTAAAGCAAGTTTGTAGGAAAACGAAGTTAAATAAAAAGTAATAACAGTTTAGAAAATTAATTATAGATTCATTGCATTGGTCTATATTTTAACTGTGCGTTTCTGCAAGACCTGATACTTATACTGGCCATTCAGATTATAGGGAATTATTTGCTTTTAAACATAATGCTTCTGAGATACATGTATGTATACGTATACCCACTTAGTATTACTATCTGTTGCATACGCAATTACGACTTAAGTAATAAAATGTTCGTGCACGCGACATTCGTCAATTTAACATTCAGATGTCTTTATTGTATCGATTTGAAAGATGTGTATCTCAAATCGTAATCAACGATCGTGCCTATGAAGCACGTTGAAAACTGACTGATCCGTATACGAACCAAATACGTAGGGAAGAATTCAATCGCATCATATCGTCGTTATAGTCACTGGGGATAAACTAGAGGCGATCTTATTAATGCAACTCACGTAACATCCTAAGCTTGTCGGTCTTTCGATCTCGTTAACACCCTAATCCCAGTGAACGGGCTCAGAGAGCCACAAATTGCGACATGTGAAATCTATTCTCTAATATGACGTCGAAGCGTTGTCACAAATGAAAATTACATCAACATCAAGAATATTAACTTAGATTAGATCATGATTATTGTCATCTCATAATAACCTATAATTAAATTCTGCGAATATGACTGTGGCAGTCATGAACAAAACCTGATTATAAATGTATTTTTAAATTTTTAAGTGAAACATACTATTGATGTTTATATACTGTTCAGTTATGATATCTTTTTGCTAATCATTTCTAACAGGCACGAGTAAAATACTCATGATTCAGGTTTAATATTCAAATATTCTTAGAAAAAATAATATCAAGCTCCATTGAGAATCTTGTCACATAATAGTTTCTAGCAACAGAAATGTGCGAATAAATAAAAATAACAGAAAGAAGAAGACATTATGTATACCCATATCCTTCAAATTTGAAGAATGACGGAAATGTATATTATCTTTGAAATATTCAGCATAACAGCAGCAATAGAAAGGTTTCGCAGCAATATACAATACCATTACATACTTCAATCCACCGACAGCTCAGTGGAAGAATTATAACAGAATGTTCGACGTCCATAAACCAAAAAGATACAATCGAGCGATCTGCACTTGCGTATCATTTCCGGCGAACACGATCAAGGGAACGTATTAATCAAATCTGACTGTATAATTCGGAAAAAAGCGCAGGCTCCGTTCAATAACGATGACCATAAATTCACCGGAGTTTATAGTCGTCGCGTCGCGCCGGGCCACGTACGCGACAGCGTTACGCCATTAGAGTAATCAAATCTCGACGGAAGCTCGCGAAATGCCGCGACTGCCAGGGGTTAAACGAAAAGAGAAAAATTATACGGCCGTATGGTGACCGGCCGACGGGATCCGCGTGCAAACGCGTCGCGTATATAGTGCGTACGTGTGTATATATAACGGGCACGAAAGCAGGGGCGTCAAATTTCATTAGCATATCAATGCTGGCGGATGGCGAGGCGCCACCTGCGCCCCCGTATTATGGGATCATCGAGGAACTATGGTGGGGCTGCACGAAATGACGTACCGGCGTAGGGGATGCAGGCCGGAAAGCTCGAAAAAAAAGGGATTTCATAACTACCGGCGACCACTTCGGTCACCCTGTTCCTCTCACCCTCCCACCGACCACGTCGCGACTAATTGTTACCGCATTAGGGAGATACGGTGACTCCGACGCTGCAGGGATTGCTTCTGATATCGACATGATTCTCGTTCTTGAACATCTGCTCGAGCTGGTTTTCGATGGCTAAATTGTTTTTTTATTAGCAGCGTTTCGAATCGCATACACTGTGGTTGGTAACTTTTGATTATGTACATAGTGTTCAACCCCTTAATTTAAGAATTTGACCTTGCAAAGTGTAGGATTCGTGGATTTAAAATCATCCTTTAAAATGTAGAGTGTTTTATTATGAAGTTGAAATTAGCGATCGTGTTTTAATCTGTTAATTCTGGGTATCTTTCTTTAGAATTGAATTCTACTTTGTTATGGATGTTTTCTTTGATAGTTTGGAATGGTTCTTCTTTTTTAGAGATGTGTAGTTTGTATGATAGAGGGTTGGACATTTTTGTCTCAGGGGATGTTTATTATTTAATTAGATTGTTGATTTGAAAGTTTAAGATCATTTGTATTGATAAGTAATCTTTTTATGAAATGAACATTTATAAGGTGTTTATGTTAGATAAAATTTTGTTATCTACAGGTAATGTCCATGTACATCATGTACTAACTTCTTTAGGTCACTTAAGATTGGATTACTGTAATAGTATAATTTCATTGGCTGTGCTGCACCCTTTTTTTTCACTTACTGTCCTACGGGTACGGTCGTGTAGAAGAACGTCGAGAGTAGATTTTTATGTAGACTGTCTTTTAAAAGTACTCTTCATGTAACTATTGATAAATTGAATATATTAAGAGTTGTTAATAATTGTATTATCATTGAAATATTTTGAGAGGTAATATTCTGAAATTTTCGAATACATTTTCGCGACACTTTCTTTAGACAGTGGAAATGAAATCCAATGAATTAATTCCATTGTGATTGGACTATATGAGATTACGCAAATCCAAATATTTGGGGACTAATATATGAAGACAAAAATTAGATAAAAATTCAGTGTCTTCTTCTTTCAGTAATTGAGAAACATATAATTTACATGAAATTCTATAATTTGTGTTCCATTACACATTTTGTTCAGTTGCATAAGTATGTAATGATTACAATAAAACTCCCGATCTAATTATAATATCAAAATGTTATTATTTATATATATATTTTTAAGTTTCATTTTTTAGCGCGGTTATTCGTTATAAAACCCAAGAGAAATGTCATGCTTATATGATCATTCAAAGCATTCTAGTTTTATTTTCAGCCTGTTTAAAAGGATTTTTCTAAAAAACAGAAATTTCCTTACGATTTCTATGAATTAGAAATAAGCTCTGAAAACATAACTAATTTTTGATACTAGCTTACTATGACGAATACTCAATGGACTTGTAGGACTCCTCGGATGTTCTGGGGGTGGATCATTCTGCGGTTGCTGATGCTGATGTTGGTGTTCATCCGAAGTAGAAACCGGCGTTGCCCCGTTCATGATGTATCAATAAGCATTCCCCGTTAGAGAAACAATCAACTGCAACATGTTTAACCCGCAAATGTTACTATCCAACGTTAAACGATTTCCATGAAACCTAACAAATATAAGAACTTGCTTCTAGTACAATTCACACCATAAAGGAAACATTCGAACCTAAAACAAATTCACTACCATATCTACTGTACCCACAACTTCAACTTCAACAATTTAAGACCGTCAAGAGCATAATGAAGATTCCAACGGTACAAACTACTTTCATCGCCACCCATAGTTTGCAACATCCAAACAATTCGCGTCATAGAATCACTACAAAAATCTCACCTGATTCCCGAGCTCCAAAAAATTCACTTATCAACACTCGCGCACACCACCAGTCCGAACAGTTCGCGATCACTGTGGTCACCGATTTCTCAGATTCTCGCACTGTACTCGCAAAACCGAAGTATTCTATCAGTTCAGTGAAACGTCCACTAATTCAACGGCGGGTAGCTCGCGTAGACTGTCCCCGAGTCGGCGGCCGGGTCGTTGGTACCCGAAACCCGAGACCTCGAAGGGCTGCGACCACGTCAGGAAGGCCAACAACGATAGATGACGTCTCGGAGTCGGTATCTCGACGAGAGATCGACATTAGCTCCGACGCGATCGTCCCGTATCACATAGGTCGACGTCGTTGGCGGTTGCAGTGGTGTCCCGACGCCGAGCGTCCCGCGAGCAACCAGCCACCGATTGGTCCGTTGGCACTTTTGAAGGCGGGATCAGGAGGCAACGCCGGAAAAACAACAAAAACGACGAGCGGGAGGATTTAACCTATAGCCGGCACGTTTGACGCGGCGCTTCGCCGACGACGCTCGTCGCGGCGCCTGCGCGTACCCCTCCGCCGCCGGCTGACGCCTGGTCGACGACGCTTCAACCCCCCACCCTCTCGCGGCGTCGTCACGAGACGACGCCTACCTTCACCCACTGAACGTCGTGCAATTGTTGATCGTTGGTTACGTGGTAGTGAAACTCGCTCTCCTTCTCTTTTCCTCCTCCACTTCCGCCCCGTTTCTTTCCCCGTTTCAACCACCCTCTGTTCGCCCGACTCCGTCCTCCACCCCACGAAAATCGAGGTGGAAACACTCGGTGCTGCTGGAATCAGATGCACCGACACAACCGGGCGACGTTGCACTGAAAAAATGCTCTTTGAAGACTCGAAACGCTGGGCGGTTTTAATTTGTGGATAGGATTTGCAGGGAGTGGGTCGGTGAACCTGGGGAATTCGATTTAAATCGATTTGCAGTGGGTTCTTAAAGAACTTGTGCGATAAATGCATTGGTTCTTTAATGTTTTTCAGTAGAGGAGTTTTCGTTTTTGATTATTGCAGAGACATTGATTTCTGTGAATTGTAAATGATTTACCTTTACTACTTGCTTTAGCTTCGCAGCGTAAACGAATGGGGAATACTGAAAAATAATAGTTAGTGCATGGTATATTTTTAATTAATAGGGTACGCGTATTTTAAATTATATGTAATAAACCTCTTGGAAAGATTTGTACATCTATTTCACGGATGTTTGGTACAAGATCCAAGGAACAATCCTCGTCTTGTATCTCCGCAGCTCAGTCAAAGAGTCAGGATTTGAAAAGACTAGTTAACGGAGCAATTAATCGTTCGATCGAACTTTCGATTCCTGAAGTGTTCCCCTGGACAAATCGAGCGAAATCCACTGGCAGCCAGGTTTAGCGGTGAAGTCGCAGTGGCCTAGGTAATAGCTGCGGGGGTGGTAGGCTACCGTGGTAGTGGTAAATTCAGCCGGAGGGATTGCCAGGTCCGCCATGCTGGATTCCTGTCGCCGAACGACCCTGTGGTTTTCCGGTAATCGTTGCCAGGGATGCAGACAGGCAACCTAGTCCCCCACCAACACTCGAGGAGCTGGAAGCCACGCCCCGCAACTCCAAGGCGGACCAATGACGCCTGGACATCGCGACGTTGCCGTCCACCAATAGGATTACCCTCTGATACGGTCTTTCGCTTGTCAATGACTGCTGCACGACCACCCTCGCTAGCTCTCGCTGGGGTGCTTTTCAATTTCGGGCCCGCACCCTCATAAACGCAGCCAACCACCCGTCCACCCACCCCAACACACTTCGATAGGTCGCCGCGAACACATCGAAACGCGGCAAGTCTGCGATGGACGGTGCCGGATGCCAGGGGCGGATGCATAGCGGGCGATCGAGGAAAATATTTGCGGAGTGGTTTCGGTACAAATGAGAGATCAATTGAACACTTGACGTGTTAAATTGATTATGAGTATGTACGATGAATAATAATAAGAATAAAGTGTTTTCCTTATACTTTAGCTAATCTATTTTAAATCATTATTTTCTTGATACTGTTCGTTTTTTGTTAGGAAAGATTTAAGACGTTGATATCGTACATGCAACCTAATGTTTTTATCGCAAGAAATAAAATGCTCAATTCCCGTTTTCGTAAAATGTTTAGGAAAAATTACATTTTTCCCGACTTCATGGATTTATGGGAATGTCCAGAAGATAATGAATACGTACTTACTTAAACAGTATTTATTTTACCTTTTTCAGTGTCAAATAAAATGCATTTTATAATCAGTTTACTCGTCTTTCGATTTTCAAATTATATTTAAATAGTTATTAAATACTTTCCAATTTTGAAAAATTTGTTTACATGTAGTAAACTGATAGCCATTACGTAAAGTTTGTAAATACGTTTTATTATTGTCAGACCTAAATCTTATTTAATTTAACAATAATTTATACAATAGGTTCTTAATTTAATACTTTACGTTCAACATATTCGCTAATTTAAACTTCCGAACTTTTTCAAATGAATATAAACCAACATTCCCCAGGTTCCAAAGGTTCACTTTTACAAAGAAGATATTACACACTAGCATACGACAGTTTCGAATCACTTGTTACTCAAAATGAAAATATATTTATCTTATAACTCATTCAAACACAAACACATATTGAGAACTTACGAAATGCAACTTAGAACGTTAAAAAGGCGCATTAAAATTAATTGTCCTATGATTGTTTATTTAAATATCAACATTTACTTTTCGTAACTCTTTACTCGAAACATAATTAAAAATTAGCTGTTATTTCCGTAATCTGTGTCTGTAATGTAATTTTCATGGTTTTTTAAGATTTTCAGTTATCATTTTACACCTTTTGAAAATATTATCTCCAGGATTGAAGAAGCCACCGTCCATCCATGTCAAGAACACCGTGGAACACGGTCTATCAGTCATCCGCCGAGACACGGAGGAGGAGGCACGTGCAGATGAATACTATAGAAGGTAGGTACATACACGTTTATGAATATATCAGCCAGACGATTCGTATAGACACACTCACGGACGGTGTACATATATGGTGTAAAGAGAGAGGTTTACCCAAACAGCCGCGGACGGGAGAATCTTACGTGTGTATTTCCATAGATGTGTTCATAAATGGAAGCAACCATCCATCTACTGATTAAAACGAGCGGAAACATGTAGAGGAGAAGGAATAAATACAGACGCACGTCACGGTATAAATGAAGGCTCACACACGTACATAGACACGTAATGAATACTGCCTATCAAAAACACTATTCTTGTGTATACGGGAAAAATGTGTACACGACAGTCAGTTTGCCTGTTACATCGGGCAGCTAGTTTAGCAATTACATGCTTGTGTGGTCTGCGTTACGTAATAGGGATCAAATTCGTTCTTACCGCGGAAAGTACTCAAAATAGAATGAAAAGTAGGTGTACTCGTTTGCACAGTAAATTTAGCTACTAATTCTTGTTTGTAGTAGATGCATCATATTTTTACTTTTTTGCGAAGTTATAAATAGTCTTACGTAACATGAGGAGATATTGAAATAGGATAAAGTAAAAGGAATATGTCCTCGGAATATCTGTAATAAAATTGGAAATGAAGAAAGAATGAAGCATTCATTTATATATCGTGCTAAAAAATCTTTCGAAGAGAAAAATAATCTGTAACGGTGGTTTTTAAGATAATTTTTACATTCACAACGGTCAATTTTAGAGCTTTCCTCCTTTCACAAATATGAATTTTTCATAACGACATTGCGACTTTTAATATACTACGGCTTAGGTATCTTGAAAGTAATATTACCAATATTCCAATTAAAAATATTCACATAACAATACAAGTTATTTAAGATTTGTTTACAAAATATTATTTTGATTACAGTATTTCACTACATTAATATTATCCCTGCGATGAAGGATACAATGTCCATTGCACACAAAAACTCAATCTCGCATTTTAAATGTTCATAATAAACATTATTTTCTCCTTAAACTAGAAAGCTTTCATTTAACTGCAAATATCCTATACATAAACTACTTAATCAGCCTAACATCTACTTAATATCCGTCAGAGTAGAAGTTTTTAGTTACATTAAAAACAAGATTTCGGTGTACTTAATAAATGTCTTAACCTTAAGTACATCGTTTATAAAAATTCCTTACAAATTCGGTTGAAAACTTGACGCGGTCGAGCTTGTTTTCATTAAAACGTTATCGATGGCATTGCACGCGTCCTCGTACACTTTAATCGCGTCGAATTCACCGTCGATATTTATCAGACGCTCCTTGTAGTGTTTAATGACCAGCCGATTCCTTTTATGGAACTCCTTAATTTGATTCTTAATTTCTTCGTAGCTGATCATCGGTCTTTCTGTGGTCGTGATTATCCTGCCCATAATTCGATCGCTCAGCACCGAATTCCGCACGTTCAGATACAGAACGATATCGGGTGGCCGTATCGCTGTGTCGAAGCTTTTGCATTGTTCCTTCCGCTTCGGGAAACCGCTCAGTATGACTCCGTTCTTGTTGTAGAGATTGTTCAGCATCTTAATGGCAATTAGTTCGACTAGTATATCTGTGGGTACCAGTTGACCCTGCGACATCATACGCGCCAACGTGAAAGCTCTCTCCGTTCGCGTCATTATTTCCTGTCGGATCACCTCGCTGGCCAAGATATGGAGGAACCCGTACTTTTCTGCCAGTTTCATGCATAATGTTTCTGTGAAAATAAATGTTGAGTTATTAAGTAAAAGCGAAGAAGACTAATCTCTCGTCTTTGAAATGTTAAGCGGCCAAGACTGAAATACAAACTTTTGGATACTGTGATTGCGCATAGTTGTATGAAACGTTTCTAAAGTATTCAAATTACATTTCATTATATTCGTAATATAAAATATGTGTATTTTTCTCCTGTATTTTAACGTATTTGTTAATAGCTTTATACAGTAATAATTAAAGAAGTTATATTTATATATCAATAATGTTAAATACGTTATTAGTAAGTTTAGATTTTATATTGATGAATCAATACAATTTAATCAGTGAAGCTATTTAATTTAACAATAAGAATAATTTGAAATGCACCTGTTATACAATACTCTAATAAATAAAAATAAGAGTAGTATAGCAGTAAAAAAATTTGTAAATTATTGATCTGTGAAGTATTAATCTTAGGAATAGTGATTTTCAGTGTGCACTTAGCTTCTTTTAATATAAAAGTATTTCCGTGAAATATCTATAACAAAATGCAAAAATAGATGTCAATGACGTTACTAGGTTATACAACGGAATTAAACGATGAAAAGTATAATAAAATGTGATAACTTTTTCCAGAACCCGGTCCTCCAATAAGAAAGACGATTGGAAAGTCGTAGTCTCTAAGCGGCTGAGTGTTAACGTTAATAATGGTACTCCTTGAAATAGGATTGCTTCCAGGAATGTAAGCCTGTATACAATTGCCCATCGAATCGGTCGTTTTCGGATATCCTTTTAATTTTAGAACCCCTCTTTTCA